GAGAATGTGTGTTTTTTATATACTCATTGGCAAATGCAATCATTTCCATGTACCTTAATTATGACTTTGCTAAGATTTATTACTCTCACATTTGCTCATATTTTCCAGGGCAGCGATCTTATACCACTCAGCACAAACATTCCAGCTCTTGTTCTTCAGCAGCCTGTTGATTGCTCTTGGCTCTTAGTGAACAAATGTCAATTGCAGAAAGACCTCTTCCATTTCCACAAAACAAACAACATTTTCATTGAGATTGCATTGAATTTTCAGATCACTGAGGGTGACCGGAAGACATTTTACAATTTTTAGTCTTTTAGCATATGTAGTCTTTGGACTACCTTTGAATACCTCTTATTGAAAGTGCTGATTGTATTTCTTTTTTATATTCATATATTAATACACCCATGCTTTATTGCACTAGGTAAGACCTAGTGCAAAATTTTCTTTTTCTTCTTCCCAAACTCAAAAGGAAAATGTCTCATGTTGAACAAATGTGCATAATGTTTGCTGCAGGAATTGTGTAGCTACCCTTGAATCCTGTCAAGGCACAGCTCATTCTTACATCAGCTGAATTGCCTAGATATGCCTCCAACTTGTCCTAATCTACGTGTAAACTCTAAGTGTTGTCCTGTTGTCCTTCTGAGGTTGTGAGATACTTTGTTCAACTTCGCCATTTCTCATCTGCTTCCTCCAAGACTTGTCAGAGAATCATCACTTCTGTTTCAACGACTAATGACCTAAGTTTTTAGCACAGCTGACGTACGAGAATGAAATTGTATTACCCATGGATTTAGAGAGATGCGTGATTGGACTAATTTTATTTTTATATGACTCATATTTTTATAAAAGCTCATACTTATTTCCTGCTGGCATCTTCTCTGTAAGTTTTCGCATATATATCACTTTTTACCCTGCACAGTTTATAATGGAAAAATAGGAATGATTTGCCTGTTGCTTACCATACTAAGGATTAATCCACTGACAGTTGAAGAAATTATGCCTCCTATCATTCCAATTAAAGTTGCAACTCCTTTAAGCACGCCATAATATCTATAAAAGAAGATAAATATGCAGATGTACAGTGGGACGAATGCTGCAGGAAAAGCCAACTTAATTAAGTAAGGTTTAAGAGCAATAACTGCTGATTTCATGAGCTCATCATTTCTACTTCTCAAATTCCACCAAAGTGACAGAAAACATGTGTTGATATAAGCAACTTTCTAGTTACACTGTGATGTTAGAGAGGTTAACATTAAGAGTAAAGAATATGAAAATATTAAGAAAATATGTAGGTGAAAATCAGCCAAGTTAAGAAAGAAATACAATTGAGAATTTAGAAGGTGATATGTATTGGTAATAGAAACTGGTTTTATAAGCTACATAGCTTGGACTCATAGCAATCCTCCTGTCTCACTCCCCCACCCCACTCCCAGGCCTGGGACTACAGGTATGCTCCACCACGCCTGGCTCCAGGGCCAGCACTGCATGCAATACTGTGGATTGAACTTGCCAGGCAGATGCTTAGGCTGCTGAGCTATCTTCCCAGGCCTGGAGGCCATTATTTTAAATAAAGTAAGCCAGACACAAAAAGACAAATACTATGTAATCTTACACTCATATGATGTCTAAAGAAGTCAAACTCACAGAAACAGCAGAACGTTAGATACCAGAATCTGAAAACACTGACCAAAGGATACAACATTTCAGCTAAAGAGGAAGAATAACTTCAGTGGATCTGATGTATATCATGGTGACTTTCATCAGTAGCCAAGCACTGTGTTTTTGACAATTATGTTGAGAGTAGATTTTAAGTGTTTTCACCACAAACATGGTAGGTATGTATATATGTACATTTAACCTTCCTACAATGTGTCTATATTTCTAAACATCATGTTGTACACAATAAATAATACAACTTTTATTTTTTTAATTAAAAATACATGAATTTTAAGAATATTGTACCTGGGAGCAATATCCAAGACATTTATAAGTGTTCCAGGTATAGCAAGGGAGGACGTTGCCTGAGAAATTATCAGGAAGATGATGACGGTGTAAAAGTGGAATCCCAGGTAAAGCATGCACATATTGAAGATGACAGGCAAGAGCATTCCTGGGGAGGGACGTAGACAACATGGTTAGGCATATGTAGGAGTGGGTACCCACCACATGTTGGAGTGCCTGGGAGCTCCTTACCTAGTGTGGTGAAGAGTTTCCGGACAGAAATGATGCTGAGGATATTCTTGGATAGGATGAAGTCTGCAGCATAACCTCCTAAGATACTGAAGCAGTAGGCAAACAGAAAGGGCAGACTGGACAGAAACCCGTTCTGTGGAGGAGATGTTATTCTGTGAGGACGTATGGTGGATGCAGGAGCTCTGATACACAGAATAATCACTGTCTTGGAATTTAGTATCTAGAATGTGTACTGTTATGTAGGAAGCCATAAGCGTACAACACTAGAATTACTCCTGGGACCCAACATAAAGAGGAAAATAGTAATATGTGTCATAGTATGGCTGTTTTTCACTTTTAAGATCATGAATCCTGAAATCACCATTTAATAGAGAGAAAGACCGTGTTGGAAGGCGAAGTGATAGCCCCAGGGGAAATTATAAACATGACAATAATGGCAATCACAATACGCTTACGGTGCCCACTCCGTACTGGCCACTGTCAATCCTTGCAGCGACTCCATGGTTTCATGGAAGATACAACTGAGTTCACAAGGTAAACCTTCCTGCTATTCTGGCACTTGCACAAGCTACTGATTCATTATGTAAAACCCTTACGTGGGGAACCCAGATTGCTTTTCTAAGAGAATCTTTTTTTTTTTTTTTTTTTTTTTTTTTCCGGAACTGGGGATTGAACTCAGGCCCTTGCACTAGCCAGCGAAGCGCTTATTCCACTGAGCCATCACCCCAGCCCCCCCCCCCCCTTTTTTTTAAGTTCTTTTTTTGGTTGTTGTTTATTTATTTAGTGTGTGTGGCCAGCTCAGCCCACCAGGGGGCGGGGCTGGCTGGCATGTGATGCTGGGGGATTGAACCGCAGTCCCTGTGCTTTGCTTAGCTTGTTCTAAGCAGGTGCTTTTGAGCCATCTCACCAGCCCCGAAAGAGTCGGGACGGGGGCAAGAACTGGCGACCTCGTGCTCTAGAGCCCGGCGCAGAAACCACCGCGCTAGGTCGCCGCCTTCCCCACCCTTCTAAGAGAGTTCTTTTCTGATTATTTTATGAAGTAACAGAAGGTTCTATGCATCAGTGCTTCTCAAGTCAGATAAGCAATGAAGGTGTCACAGGAAACCCAAGTCATGAGTCAACCCATATCCAAATCCAGTCTCATACCCCCAGGAAAGAGATGGATGAGTGCTAAGTAAGATGCAAGGGCTTGGCCATGTGACTGACTTTCAGGGAAGGACCCAGTCACCAAAAGGAAGGGCAATGTTGAATCTTTAGTTATGTACATGGCAACCACATGGTGATGGGAGTTAAGGGAACTCAGGTTGCAGGCCTATTGTTGTTGGGATACCAGACACTATATTTATACCAATGCCTTTTGTTCTGGTTACTTTTCACAAAAATTAGAAGCCATGCATCTCCAGATAAAAGTCATAGATAACACAATGGGGTGGGAGGCAAGAGCAGAGACCAGGGTCATTAGAGACAGAGAAACAGAGAGTCCTTCATAAAGTTATAGTAAAAACTTACAATTTACTAACCTTTCTTATGTCAACATGAAGTACACTGTTCACAAAAATTGGAGTGTATGCCACTGCAAAATTATTTGACCAGAAAAAAGCAAAATGACTCAAGGAAATGGCCCAGAATGGGGTAGACTGCAGCACAGACTTGATGGGTAGAGTTTTCACAGTACTTGGGTTGTCCTGAAAAATAATTAATCATTCTCAGAGCAGGACAAGCAGGAGTCTCTTTTGCTTGGAGCAGAATCTGAGAGATGACAATACAGAACACTGTGGTCTACCTGCTGGGCGAGGGATGAGGTGATATATTCTTTTTCATTGATGCTTATAAATGGGTGATCTTTTGGGTCATCATAAAACAGAATGAACCAGAAAAGACATAGGACACAGCCATAAGCACCTATCAAAAAAGAACAAGTTAGAATCAGAAGTTTCTGACTATAGTAGGTCTTTAACTTATTATACTTTCTATTGTATCATTCTATCAGTCTAGATGTCCCCTTCCTGTTTAAATTTTGCAATAAGTTTCCTTGTTTGGGCAGTCCTTCTTGTATCCAGAGTTGTCTTCCTACAGAACAAATCTTACATAAATGGTGATAAGTTCTCTGGTCTCTCCTGATCAGCCAGCTTCTACATTTGTCCACTGGGATGGGCCTCTCTGTCTTCAGCTTTTTATCTTTTCAGATTCAGAATGTGTTGCATCATCAGAGCAGGGGAGATCTAACCCTGCTCAGAGTTGACAATTACCCAGTTTGTGGGTTCAGCCATAGCTGGGCTCATGAGACACCATCCAGGCTTTAGAGACTGTCTAAATCCTCTAAATGTAAAATTCTTTTTTAATGCATTTTTTAATACTAATATCTTGATCATGTGGAATCCTCTGTTAAAGTAGAGCATATAGTGTTTATGATTTAGGCTTTGTAAATTGGATTAATTCATTTGACAAATATTAGAACATAATAATATGTATCAAGTACTATCCTAGGTGCTGAGGATAGAGCAGCAAATGGACAAAAATCCTTGCCTTCATTGAGATGTCTTTCAAGTAGATGAGGAAGAGACATTGTCTTATTTAATCTTCAAAAATTTTATTTGATACTATCATTATCTCTTTTTCAAAATGAGAAAATGCAGAAAGATCAGAGTACTTGCCCAGTGACACACAGTTAGCAAGTAGTAAGCAACTTCATACACAAATTGTACCATCTCGCAGAGGAGTACATCCTGAAGGGTGAGTCTGGGGCAGAGTTTGAAGTAAGGCAGCAGTTAAAATGGTGAGGAAAGGGGGGAGGGAGAAGTCGTAACACAGAGATAGAAGGGCTAGAACCATGAAGTCCAAGCAGGGAGAACACAGTCAGTGAGACTGAGACAAGAATGGTGGTCTGGTAGTCAAGATCAGAAGGAAAGGAGGGGAGCCACAGGCACCACAATAGAAGTGAAGACTGGACATGACTGATGCAGAACCAGTGAACTTGAAGAAAGAGCAGTAGAAAGTTTCAAAATTGAATTTCTAAGATAGAAGAGTGAACCACAACAGGATATCCAAGAACTATGGAACAATTACAAAATTACTAACAGGCTAGTATGTATGTGAAGGCCAGGACACAAGATTAAAGTCAGGAGCAGAAGTACCACTTGAAGCAACAACTATTGAGAATTTCTCAAAATTAATGATACACAGCAAATTACAGATAAAGGAAGACATAGAACAACAAAAAGGGTAAGTACTAAAAATTTATACACAGGCCTATCATATTCAACTTCAGCAGATATAAACTCCTTGATGACAGAACATTATCTTTTTTTTTTTTTTTTTTTTTTGGTTCTTACGTATTTTCGTACAGGGACTATAGGGTCTCATTACACAGATTGGACTCGTAAAGATCCTCCTGTTTTCAGCCTCCCAAGTGCTGGGATTACTGGCACATGCCACCACACTCACTCTCAATCGCTGTCTCAGTGTGCCCAAGGGGAGGGCTGGTACAGTATGCTGTGTCTTGCTCTTTAAAACAATGACTATTTGGATTTATTGTACTTTATTGAGAAGAACATTCAAACAGAGTTTGTGAATAATTTGGTCTTTGCTCTGCCACTTGGTCAGGTCGTTTGACATCAAGTGACCTCAATAAAAGGATTATTGGGCACATACCTAAAACCTTACCCCCTGCTTTCAAAGCTCTTTTCTCTGTTGTAAGTGATAAAGAAGATGCAAATGAGGCACTTCATGGTGCAAGTCTTGTCAGAGCATAAGTTGTACTCCCTGCCTTTGAGTTTCATGAAATTCCTCATGGTATCTGCCAGTGACAAATGGTGCTGTACATGATTCTGAGGTAGGACTAGAATGTGAATGCTGAGGGTCATTCTTCCAATTTGATCATCAATTAAGTGTCAAAAAGCTTTTCTTACATGAGGCTAAAGTCTTTTGTCCCAGTAACTTCTGCTTATTTAGTTTAGTTTTATAATGCAGAGCAATTTTGAATTTCTCTGGTAGGGAAAATTTTCTTTTCTCCAGGACAGATAGTTCCAGTTCTCTCAATCCCTTTCAGGACATAGTGTATGTGTCCCATTACTACACTGACCACTGCTTCCTACTGATGATCAAAGTGGTGATTAGGAATGATGGAAATGAAGGAGGAAGACATATTTGCACATTATGGCTCTGTTTTTTGCTCCCCATATGAAGTGTGTGTTCTCAGTGTGTCCTTCTAGGCTCACACTCCATTGTTTTATACTCTGATTTGGTCACAGATGGCTGTGTTAATATCAACAGGTTCCATGCCCTACCTTGCTGTTTGAATTAGCCAACGGAAAGCTTTGGTAGAAATGAGGACAGATTTAGTGGGATTACAGTGTTTTTTCAAGCCCGAAATATCTCTCTCCTAAGATTAACTCCTCTTTTTTTTTTTTTTTTAATAAAAACAAATCATAGATTCCCTTGGGGCAGTCTGCTCTAATGGATCGTGGTAACTGCTCCATCCTTTGCCTCTTTGAACTTGGGGATGGGACCAGTTTGTGTATCATATGCCTCGAGTTGCTGCAATATCCCTGTGATTCGTTACATCTTATAACCGTTTTTAAAAGAGTCACTTTGTAAATGAATCTTGAATTTACCCTAAGAACGATTTTAGGCAAGAAACACAGCCTCTGTAAGTGTCCTCACTTAACCAATAGACACAATCACACCCATCCACTGTCTCTTCAACATATCTCAAACCAAGATGTTAAAGCCAGTAGTAATTTTATATCTCATTTGGCAACCTCTATTCTTTATGGTTTTTGTGTTTCAATTTGTACAAAGTCTTTTTTTTTTCTTCCTTTTTTTTGCATTTTAGGGAAGGGTCTCGAGGGTGTTCAGGGTCTCACTACTAGATTGGACTCCTAGTGATTTAACTGTTTACAGCCTCCCAAGAACTAGAATTACAGGTGTGGGGCACCACGCCGGGTCTCAATTGCCGTCTCAGCGCACCTCAAGGGCAGGGCTGGCACTGCAGGCTCGGGGATCAAACCCCCACAAAGTTGTTTTTTAACTACAGAAATTAATGTGTTTGATTATAGAGGGCCAAGGTCATGACTAAGTATAAATAGTAACTCAGAATATGAGTGTAATGATTGATACATTGTGTCAATTTGAGAATTAAGAAGATCAAAAGCTAAATTTATTGACTCAGCAGGGGTCCATGGTCCCCTGAGTTTGTGGAGATGGTGTGGGCAGATTGTGGGCAAACAATATAAGGGAGACAAAGAAGCTTGCTACACCCCCTTTTGCTTTCCGCTGCTCTTGTGAACTATTGCCTTCTGCCATGGAGCCAGTCACTCTGCCTTGGAGCCAGTCGATTACAGAATAAAACCTCGGCAAACTATCAGCTAAATGAATCTTTTCTTCCTTAATGTTGGGTATCAGGTGTTTTATCCCAGCAATGAGAGTAAATTAACAAAGATAATCTTTCAAAATCTAAAGTTGATTATTCCAGTTAGGATAGATATATGACTGCATTCTCTTAATTCAATGAACAGAGAGATTTATTCTAATAGTGTTTGTGGACAGGATATCATGTCTGCATCTTGTACAATGAATAACCACTAAGACAACAATATGCAATTTATTAACTATTGAAACTGTGCTGGTAAACAGTTTTGAAGTCTCACTGCTACTTGTCTCTCAATAAAATTATTGAAAAAAAAGATATATAGGATGTATAGGTAACAAACTACATGGAGAGAAGTATATTATGCAGATAGAATACTTGAGAATCTCAAAAAATTATTTCACTGTAATACAAATATATCAAACTTCACTTTTCATGCTTCCACTGTACTTAAGAATTAGAAATCAACACTATGTTTTACAACAAATACTGTAAAATTCATATTACTTTGTTAAGTGAAAATCTATGTCACTTGTAATTTTTTCTATTTTAATTCTAATTTGTATTCTCTTGAAAAATAAAAAAAGGAAAAAAAAAGTTAATTATTCTGATTACCTCTTTCCTGGAGAACTTCACATAGGGTATGTGGTATGATAGCCTATACATTACACAATTGTAAAAAATTAGGTACAAGTATATGTATGGTTCTAAGCATGATAACTGGTTTGCAATAAGAACTTCATGAATGTTGACTTTTCTTTCTTTTTGTAATTTTAAATACTAACTTCATATAAGTTATTACATTATATTATTATTTTTTATTCATAAATTCTGAATTGCAAATGGGAATTTATAGGAAGAGACTCACCAAAAATATAAAAGACCAAGGGCCATCCCAGAAAATCACAGATCAATCCAGTCGCAAGCAAGACTATGAAGGGTCCCAGCATAACCCCTAAGCAGAAAAGACAAAACCCACCACTATGAAATTAATGCAGGGAGGGAGGTGGCTCAGTGGAATAAGTGCTTACCTGGCAAGCGCAAGGGCCTGAGTTCAATCCCCGGTTCCGCAAAAAAAAAAAAAAAAAAAAAAAGAAAAAAAAAAAGAAATTAATGCAGACATCTGAAAATAGAGAGGAGGTGACTGCTCTGTAGCCATGAGCAAT